TTCACGTGCAGGAGTCAGCAGGGCTGTGCTGACTTGGCATCCATGACTAGCTAGCCTTCACAAGGGAGAGCCAGCCTTGTCCCTAGTGCTCAGTGCTTCCCGGTTTACCTCCGGTTTCTCTGGGTCACCACGCAGTCCAGGAGCAGTGCGTCCAGCTCTCTTCTATGAGAGAGAGAGAGAGAGAGAGAGAGAGAGAGAGAGAGAGAGAGAGAGAGAGAGAGAGAGAGAGAGAGAGAGAGAGAGAGAGAGAGAGAGAGAGAGAGAGAGAGAGAGAGAGAGAGAGTGTGTGTGTGTGTAGCTGAGACACAGCTAGAGTAGCTCAGGCTGGCCCTGAGCTCATGCATATCTTCCTGCCTCTGGAGTACGGGCACTACAGGTATGCACGACCACATTTGACTCCTGCTGTTTACTTTCATAGGAAGTTCCAAATCCTCAACACACTCCTTTTCACTTATTCCCTTCAGCCTCCTTCAGTCTCAAAGCTCCTCCAAGCCCGCTTTTCCCAGCTGTGATCACTCCAGTGTTCTACCTTCCTGCTCTGAGAAGTCCGTTAGTATTTTCTCTTCTTGTGTGTGTGACTTTTCACCATTCCTTTGGAGTCCACTTCTAGAAACACAGAGAGAGAGAGAGAGAGAGAGAGAGAGAGAGAGAGAGAGAGAGAGAGAGAGAGAGAGAGAGAGAGAGAGAGAAACCAGGCTCAGGATATGGAAAGGAGGCAAGACCTTCCTTAGTCACAGCCCTGGCTTCGCCAGGAACCACACAGGAAGCAGCCTTGCTTACATGGGTGAAATGGCTTCTGGCTGTGTCAGATGTGGAAGCCCAACCACGTCTCATATACCATCCCGACGGCCTCTCCACTGCTGAGTTTTCCAGATGAAGAAATGAGTTCACAAGCCAGAGCTCAAAAGCCTACAGTCCCTTGGGAAACTGAGGCAGCACTCTCGTTTCAAGTTCAAGGTCGCTTGGGTTACAGGGCAAGACCATCTTAAATCAACCTTCTTAGCCTCCTGTGCCACCTCCTGAGTGCTAGGATGCAGATATCTGCCACCCTGACACATTTATGTGTTGCTGGAGGTCAAACCCAGGGCCCTGTGCACGCTAGGCAAGCACCCAGCTGGCTGGGCTACCCTCCAGCCCTTTTTTTTTTCCAGCCTTGGTACAAGAACCCCTTAAGCCAAAGTGAGTTTTGTAAAAAGTAAGTCTCTGGTTTGTTCCCCACTCTCCCTTAGACCTGGGCTTTGCTGGTTGCACAGTATGGTGTCAGATGAGTCCCGCCCTCTTTATACCTGGAGGTGGCAAGTTAAAGACCAACAGTTGGGGTGGGGGTGGGGGTGGAGGTGGGGGAGGCAAGGGGCTTCCTGCCAGCCAATCGGAAATAACTGCCTAGGCTCTGGGCTCACATCATCTGCTCCCGCTAAGACAATCATCAACATAAAAGGCTAATTGTATTAATCACCAAGGCACCCATCCTGAGCCCCCCTCCCCTTGGAGAGAATTATGAATTGCCACTGCAGATGGCTCTACTGATTGAAAGCAGTACTCAGCAGGAAGAAGGGCCAGATCAGATTACACACCATTAATTAAAAACTTCCCCTGGCAAATGAGAGCCAGGGGGTGCATACTGAGGGCCTGCCTGGTGGGTCTCTGTCCTCCCCAGACCCCTTGTCCCCAAGCAGCCCCAAGGACTGTGACGGTGAAGCCTGCTTCTCCAACTGGAACTGCTGGGAACTGGAGCGCCCAAGGCCAACTCTTTCCTCATCTAAACAGATGGCCTGCTGTCCCAGTACTGTCTCCAGAGGAGAGGCTAACCTTTGCTTATTTATTCAGTCCAACCTTCGATGCTCTTCAGCTTTAACCTAATTACTGATTCCTCATTTCTGCGGAAGGCTATCTCTCGCTCTAGTCCTTCTCTACAGAAAGGCCGCTAAAGGACTATCAGTGAAAATGGTTCCCAACTTTCTGTCTAGCCACTCCTTGCTACATTTGGGAATCTCTTGGACCACCATGACCAGCAGAGAAATGATCTGAGGGAGGCAAGAAGGCAGTTTGGGTAAACATGACAAAGTAGTCAGTGTTGGTTCGAACTTTGGGAGTCTGACGCCAACTAGTTTATTTTAGGCATATTTAAGCATAGCACACTTTGGTGAAAACTCTCCTGGTGATAATTAACTCAATCCCAAGTGCACAATGAAGTTTAAGACATGACTACACTGAAACTCTTTGTAAAGGACATGTGACACTTTCTATAAAGATGGGTTCTATAGGTTGACAGGTTCACGATAAGAGTCTTAGAGGGGAGCAGATCTGGTGTGGTCTAGCAGGCCACACAGACAGTGCTAAGGTTACGTCCACTCCTGTCCTTCTGGATGGATAGCAGGTTATGCATCCCTTTGAAGGAACAAGCCTGTGTTTAACATTCCTGGTTCCCCTAGTGCTTATCTGTGAGGACACGGACCTCCGTGCCTCCCACGCCTAAATTCTAGGATTGCCAATGCTGCTCCAGAGTGGTGGGTGGAGACACGAACCCTGGCTACCACCCCTCTTCCCAGCCCCTGCGTGGAAGCAAAGGCTTCTCAGCTGTTGTCATCTTGGCTCATTTGGGGCTTCAAGTTCTGAATTTTCCTCTTCTTGATCAATTGCTGCCTCCTCTCCTTCCTCAGCTGCCCAGCCTCAGTCAGTCAGTCAGTCATCAAACTTTTATTGAGCACCCAGTGTGTGCTTGGCTCTGGGGGCAAAGAGATAATTTGTCAAGAGGCTTAAAAGCCTAGTGCAGGGGCTCCCTGCCACAGCCTCTCTGAGCCCCTCTCCTTTCCTCTGCTGGCTGTAGCTTGTTGGAGACCCCAGGGAGCTCTACTTTAGAAAATTCTAAGCTGGGAGCTAGAGAGACCTTAGGGATCTTTACAGTAGAGTCAAGTGGCCTTTGACAAGTCAGTCATGTCCTGTTCACACACTTGTATACACATGATCACACACACACACACACACACACACACACACACACACACACACACACACACACACGGCTGTCCCTGCTTGTAAAAGGGTGCAGGAAGTCCTGGGACTTTGAGATTGTGAAGATGGCTGAGGAGGGCTCAGCTTGGAGAGCTGTGGATACCGCACGATGCACCGATGATACCATACAATGCAGAAGGCAGATGCAGGGCCATGGACGCCAGCACTGCAGCAGTCAGGTCTGTCCAGCGCCCTGCCCTTGAAAGGCTTTGGCAGCCCCTCGTTCACCTGGCCCATTGGGAGACAAGTGCTTATCACTTATCTCGTTCTCTCTCTCTCTCTCTCTCTCTCTCTCTCTCTCTCTCTCTCTCTCTCTCTCTCTCTCTCTCTCAAGTGGATTTGGCTGCTGCATCTCAGGGTACCATGGTGATGGGTGCCATAGAGATGAGAACCGACTTGAATTGGCTGACTCTTCATTCCAGGGTCCCTCCCTAGCCCCCCTCCCACAAAGTTCCCAGGTCAGTAGACCTCAGAGAGAAGAAGACAGGGCCCTGTAAGCTGACCCAGTGAAGGACAGCAGAACCTGCTTTCTCTCCCTCCCTCCCTCTCCATCATCCCCCTTCCCTCTTCCTTCCCATTACCAACAGCAATTGTATTCAAACCCAATAATTACAGCAACTGCAACAATAATCATCATTTATTGGAGTTGTTCTACCAGCGTTTAACTCCCCCAAGCATCTTCTAACTCATTGTTGACACAGTACTCTCCGTGGGAGGAGTGTGCCCATTTTACAGTAGATAAGCTGAAATCCAGACAGGGTCCCACCACCCCACAGCCTCCTATTACAGGCAGAGTAGATGTACAGTAGCCTTTAACATCTAGCAAAATCAATTCAATTCCCAGGGTCTTCTAGAGGCACTAAACCTCTAATCTCGATTTTCTGGGTCATCCTGTGGTCTCATTTAAAAGGACTTACTTAACAGCTTCTTTGGGGCCTGTAATGCTGACAGTCAGGCTGGAGAGGCTTCTGGCCCAGGTTATAGACAGAGTGCAGCAAGGAGAGGTTTGGTTTTCCTATGTTAAACTGAGGGACCCTGGGGGAGACCATCTGGTCCAGAGCTCCCTAATGCTGCTCCTTTGCTAACCCAGGAGAAGGCTCCTCTGTGTCAGCTTGTACCAGGTTAGGGACCTTCCTGAGCATTTGGGAAGTAGGAATGAAGTCTTTTTGGGAGAGCGATTTCTGTCTTCAGAAAACCCCAATCTGATGGATCCCCAAACCACACCTAGAGCAAAGAAACCCGGGGAGGAGTTCAGGCTATGCTCAGTGGAAAAGTTTGGGGCTTCCTGAAGCTCCCTCATCAGAGTCCAAGCAGAATGGCTATCTAGGTCCCAATTCCCCTCTCCCAAAGACAGATCCAGAGGCCCAGGACACCCAGTGGGGTCCTGCTGCATGGCTTCTGCCCCCTTTACTCTTGTCATAAAGAAATGGAAAAGGGTCATGAAACTAGAAACAGGATCATGAGAGGGAGAGAAGGTGTCCGGGGGTGAGTAGGGGTCCGGGGAGCAGGGGAAGAGTACAGGTGACGTGAAATGGGAAGTGGAGGGCTTGGGGGGGGGAAGGGAACAGCAACTGTCCAAGAGGCTGGGGGAGGGGTCCAGGAAGAGGATCAACAAAAGCAGAGTGCGCATGAAAACATTACTCTGTCTGTAAAATCTCTGCAAAGAGAGAAAAAGGGAAAGCAAGGAAGGCCTTGGAGAATTAACTGGATGGATTCACTCCCAGATTCTGTCTGTCTGTCAATGTAGAAGGCAGTCATGGCGGTGCACCTAAGTCACAGCTGTTCCATAGGCAGAAGCGGGAAGGTTGAATGTGACGTCAGCCTGGGTGGTGGCTCTCAGGAGAGAAAATAAGGAAAGGAAAAGAAGCAACTGTTCCTCAGGGATAGGATTGGTACCCAACACCGGGGACACCTCAAGACAGGTCACACAAGGCAAGCTGCCCACCTGCAGGCTGCCCCGGAAGAGAGGGGTGTGGGGCCACGCAGGGTCACACGCTAACTTCCGTGTCCTCTGAGTTCATGTGGGGTTCCTTCGTCTGGGGCTCCACATGTACCACTTTCTCCACCTTTGTGGTGCCCACGAGGATGGCCAGACGCTGGGCTACAGTCTTGGTGTCGGGGAACAGGATAAAGTTGTAGATCAGGGAAGCCAGGACAGCCCCTGTGAGGGGCCCCACCCAGAAGATCTGAGGAGACAGAAGTGGGCGTGAGCTCTCAGTCTGCTTCCCTTGCTGCCAACCCCAGCCCCAGGGACTCTCCAGGGCCTACAGGGCAGTAACCTGAGAACTGGGAGCCCAGGGGTGAGGGGCTCTGCCTCCCCTGGGGGGTGCAGCCAAAGCTAAAGCTGGGGCTTCCGTCCTCGCCCATGGCTGCCTCTTCCTCTCACCTCTCCTGTTTTAGCCCTGACTATTGCTGTTTCTGTCTCTGCTTCTGTGTGGTCTATTTCTGTTTGTCTTTTTCTTTATTCAAGTTTGAAAATTGGTCCAGCTGGAGAAAGTGAAGAAGGAAACAGCCAGAACATAAAGCCTGGGCCAAGGCTGCAGCTTCTGCCCTGGCCCATTTCTTGTGAGTCCCTGGATACCACAGGCTTTCAGAGCTGAAAGACAAGCCAGGACGCTCACCTCGGCTCCCTGAAGGCAGGGAGTCTGCACTTCTGGGTGGTCTAAATGACCTGGTGACGAGAGCTCATTGATTACATTCCATGTGGGTTTCCTAATGGTAAAACCTACTAGCTCTTCCTCCTGCTTAGTGTCCCACACCCCCAAGCCTACCAGTGTAGGGGCTCACCCAGTGGACCGCGAACTTCCCAACAATGACGGCAGGACCGAAGGAGCGAGCTGGGTTCATGGAACAGCCAGTGAAGTAAATCTGGGGAGGACACAGGGCCAAATATGAGGAGGTTTGAGGCAGCCTGAGGGAGGACATTCCCATCTGCCCTGGCTCAGCCCCCACCCCCACTAGCTCCATATTACAGGGCACTTATCTCAGGCCACAAGACAGGAGGGGCTCAGGGAGAGACACTTCCTGGCCTCCAGGGTCCTTTGGCTTCTCCAGGGAGGGTTCCAGTATGTGCACAAGCACTGTGTCCTTCTTTGTCCCTTACCCCAATGAGGTGGCCCAGCGCCACAGAGGTCCCAATCATGGCAGCTGGGGAGCCCAACGTCTGCCGACTGTCCGTGGAAGCGAAGACACAGAGCACCAGCTGCAGCGTCAGGATCAACTCCACGGCCACTGCCTGGCCGGTGGAAGTGCTGTTGTGGACCTTGGCAGAGAGGAGTACGCCAGAGTGGGCACGGGCTCTGACCGTGGGGCAGTGAGATCCCCTAGGCCTAGTCTTCTCAACTGTGAGGGTGACACAGTATCAGAACCTGAGGTCTGTGCGACTGGCTCACATCATGTCTGGATGCCTGCTTGCTGTGGAAGGCACCTCTCCCACTGCCATAGAGAGAGGCCTGTGGGTCAGGGGTGACAGGGAGGTAAGCAGCGAGAAGGCTCGAGGATAGAATGGAGGAGGCCTGTGGCAGAAGCAGATGGAATGAAGGCTGGGAGGGGAAGCAAGCAGGCCTCAGGGAGCTGGGGGAATGGCAGGGCAGAGGACACAAGCCAAGCACTGCGAGTTAAAGAAGCTAAAGAAGCGTGGGCAGGGTCTCTCCCTCTCCCTCAATCCCGGCCCCGCCAGCTGTGCTGGACCTTAGCTGCCTGGTCCTTCCGGCCCCCTCCCCTCCCCTGTGTGCGATCGCACCCCATTTCTGTTCCTGTCCTGCTGGATGAATGCCAAGTCCGTTCCTCTGGAACCCAGGGACCTGCGCGGAGCAGCTAAGGAGTGCACGGTTGCATTATTTCCCCTGCCCGCCTCTGCGCCTGTCTGGCCTCCCACCCTGACCACTTGATTTTCTCCCATGCCCCATCACTGCCACAAGCCCGGGCCGTTTTGCACCTACCACGTTGACGCCAAGGGTTTCTCGGACACCTCCAGGAGTTACCCCATAAAGAAGAGCGGCCCCCACGGTGGCCCCTGCCAGCTGGGCGGCTATATAGGCCATAGCCCGAGGCAGAGAGATATGGGATCCCACGAGGTAGGCCAGTGTCACAGCAGGGTTGGCATGGGCCCCGCTGGTCTTCCAGGAGATCTGCACAGCTGTGGCCGTGGCCAGGTTGAAGGTGATGGCAATCTGCAGCACAGAAGGGAGTGCCACAGGCCAGGGCAGGACGGAGCCCACCCCAAAAAACACGTATAGCCCTGTGGCCAGGAACTCCGCAAACAGCGCCTTGCTGACGGCGGTCCAGAGCCTGCCAGCCAGTAGGTAAGCTCTACAACACAGCCCTGGCTCCATGTCTGGTCACCTTGTCCTTCAGGTCTGCTGCCCCTGCTCTTCCCTGACTCCCTCTTATCCCCTGCCTTTCTGTGGTGGCCTCCCCAGCCCAGCTACACTCTGCCTCCAGCACACTGCTGTCCTCAGGAGCGAGCTGCCCGGGCTGATGGGGGCCTGCTGACGACATTACGCGTGTCTGGGGGCGGGAGGTACCAGGGTAGTGCCCACATGCTTGCTCCCCCTGGGGTTCACCTGACCGGGGGAGGGGCTGGCCAGTAAGGGAGTGACTCTGGGCGCTGAGCTGGAACCTCCCGGACAGCCAAACACTGGCTGCCAAGAGAAGTCCAGCTTGAGACATGGAGACTCGGGATGGACATGGGGTCCCCAGAATCAGCTCAGAGACAGCAGGGTCACTGAGAACCCCAAGTCCAAGGCCTGCTTCAGGGTTTCCTGTGTCCTAATTATCCAGTCTCTTTCCTCTGAAGAGGTGGGGTGTATTCTGTACCCCATAAACATAGGTGTGAAATTAAGTTCTTTCCACCATCCCCACCCAAAACGCCACTCCCCTGTTACAGATGCAGTCAGTTTTTCTGAGGATACGGCCCTGGGTGTACCAAAGGGAATATGGAGTCACTCAAACTGTGCAAATGCGGCCTGTGGCCCTGAACCGTCTACCGTCTACTGGTGGGAATTTCCTCCGCCTTTCCCTCACTTCCTTACCGCTCTGTCTTGTCACCACCTTCACAGCTTACGTCTGCCTGTCTACCTCTTAGAGCCCCCAGAACCCTGTGATTTATCAGGTCAGATGATGCCTACTTTTGTGACTATGCTGGTCCTGAAGTGTCACCCATACCTAGATTTTGTTCCTCAGCAGCATAAAAAGGCATTTTCTCAAGCAAAGGCTCCCTCTGTGGAACTGTCCAGACAATACCTTGCCCTGCCCTGCTCTGACCCACGGCCGCCCACAGACACCCTGGCTCTGCAAACGGTCTGTCTCAAAATGCATCCTTCCCTCCTCCCACTTTGCTTTGCTTTGCTGCAGTCGGCTTGGTGGCACCTAGGAAGTGTCCTTGACCTTTCCCTATAAAGTGTGTAGCCTGCTGACACTGAACCTGCCTGCGTCTGGCCTGTGCCCTCCTGCTGCCGCCCTGAAGCCCTTAGTCGGTCCATGTCCCAGTCAGTTCTCCACACTGCAGTCCAAATGGTGTTTCCAAAGTGCAGCCATCAGCCGCCTGCCGCCCTGCTGAAGTCTCTCATGGGCCTCTGTCGCCTTCTTTGGAGCTCCAAGCCCAAGTGACAAGGTCCCTTGGGACCCCACTCTTCCAGCCTCCCTCATCCTTCTTCCTTGGCCTCTGACATCCTGGGGGGGAGCATCCTGCCCATCTCCAAGACTGTCCCCTCATCACTGTCTTCGCCTGGGTAACCCTAACCCATCCCCGAGGTCAACTTCCAGTGTCCCCTGCTTCTGTCCTGGGTAAGGCCACCTTTGTGTGTTGTCATCATACCCAGGCATTTTCATACACAAGCCAGCACACTGTATTGCTACGGTGCTAAAGCGTCTCCCCAACAAGGTGATAGCCCTTAGGGAAGGGATCGCATTTTGTTTGTCCCTACATATAGTGTCTTGCACAGAGACTGGCTACCCTAGACACTCCGTAAAGAGAGCAGGTGACTGTCATGACGGCTTCATTGTGGTCTGCTGTTCCCATGGCTGCCCTCCTGCCCCCTCATAGGACTGCATCCTCTGACGTCCTCAAAGGAGACATCCAGTTCTGGGCCACAGGCGCTACCCTCCCCCATCTCAGTCCCAGGCAAACCCCTGCCCCCCCTTCTGTTCCTTCAGCTGTCCTGGCTCTCCCCTCCTCTCCTCAGGAACCCTCGGTTTCTCCCTGGGCACAGCGTGCTCTTGCCAGTGCCCCACTCCTAGTCCCCAAGCTCTCTCTCCACGGCTCTGTTCTCATCCTCACCCACCCTTCTGCCTGCCTGAGCAGCCAGGCCCGGCTGGTGGGCTGGACGCCGTGCTGGCACAGCTGTAATGGCAGGTCTCCGTCTGGTGTCTGCGACTCCCATGCCCCCTCCCCAGCTTCTTGTTGACATGATGCCTGGTAATCAGGAGTGGTGGGATAGGACAGCTTGGAGTCAGTTCAACCTCACTTGTGTTGGACGCCCTTGACCCCCATGCTGAACCTGGTCCTTTTTTCAAGAACAGGGTTTCTCTGTATTGTTTTGGAGGCTGTCCTGGAACTCACTCTGCAGACCAGGCTGGCCTCGAACTCACAGAGATCCTCCTGCCTCTGCCTTTTGAGGGCTGGGATTAATGCTCTCTCCTGTTCTCAAAAATTATTTTTTACATTTTCATTTTATTATGTGTCTCTGAGTATATGCACACACAGTGTTCAGAGGACGACTTCCAGGAGCCAGGTCTCTCCTGTGGGTCCTAGGGATGGTCTCTCTATTCACTGAGGCCCCCCTCCTGTCCATCTCCTCCATTCTTCAAACCTCCCCAATCTGCACAGACTCCTTGTTCCCTCTGACTTCCTGCAATTGTACCTTCCATCCTACCTAGAAAGCCGGGCCACCAGCCAGCCTTCTCCCGACCCCCATCCCTTTCCTCCCGGCCGAGAGCTCAACAGTGGCCCACAACCTGTCTAGTCGCTCATGCGCTAAACAAGAGGTGGCCTTTCACTTACGCCAGAGATCTCACGAAACGCTGCGCTGGTCACACCACCCCACTGTCCTTCAAACCTTCCATAGCTCCCTTTTACCTCAGCGTCCGACATGCAGGGGGAGATTGCTTCCCCGCCCCCGCCTGCCCTCTGTACTGCAGCTGGGCCAAACACTCCCAATGTCCCCTCTGAGCCCTCTCCACATCGTAGAGGCATTTCTCCTGTCTCTCCTTCAAGACAGTTCTCAAATGCATTTCCCCTGTGAGGCCTTTCCTGGTGTTCTGCCCCAGCATAATCAGAGCGAGCTACACAGAGAAGGTGGGCCTGAGCAACTAAGGGCTACCTCCGCGTACCTCAAAGGCCTTTCCTAGGTGGAAGGATGGCCATTCACCGGTGCCCATTTCTGACCTAGGCTGGGTTTGGATGTGTACTAACAGCAGTGATGCCCGTATGGAAAGCTTTTAAAGACAAAAAGAAGCGTGTTGAATATTGCCTCGTGGACTGTGCCCTGACCAACTGCTTGACTTCTGTGATCTCAGAGCCTTGCTTTGAAATGGGTGTTGTTCTTACGACCCCATGTGCTGGGAAAGGTTTCCACAGACCCCTGGGAAGGTGCTCACTCACTGGAGCACAGCAGTGCAGATTAGCCACACAGAGAAGGTCGGGGCCAAGGGCCACCTGCAGCCCTGCTCTGGTTGCGGAAGGTAAAAGGGCAGTAAGTGCAGTGGCAGCTTCTTTCCCAGGATCACACAGGACAGACTCCTTGAGTCCTCGTTGGCCTGGGACAAGGTCGTTCATCCCCTGCGGGTAGACAGGCAGGCAGGCATTGCCCAGTTCCTGTTTTTCCTGCCCCAGCCAGCACCTTCCTGGGCCCAGACAGTCCAGGATTCTAGTGCCAATCTCTGAGCTCACTCATGCTCAGAAGCCTTTTGTCGAAGGCCCATACCTGGATGCCTGGACACGTGGTCCCACTGAGGCCTTCTGAGGCCCGGAGAGGCAAGGCCAGCAAGAGAGAACTAAAGCCCCCAAAAGAAGGGGTTCAAGACAGCGTCCGTGTCCCCTCCCTGACTCTGATGAAACACTGGCAGGCTGCCAGGTCGCATAGATGTTCTAGCTCATTTCTGTCAGAGCAGGGGGCTGATCTGAGAGGAGCTGCGATCTGATCCCTCTCCCCGTCCCCCGCCCATCCACCTGAACACCACCTTCTGCCCTGCACCCCTGCACTGTCCGCTTTCAGCTCTGGTCCTCGTCCAGCTGTCACAGCACCTTGTCTGCACACCCCTGATGGAAACCGGCAGCTTCCGGTGGGAGGAATGGACTGCCGAGGAGGCAGAGCCTTCAACCAGAGAACATGGGCTCCTCAGTCACGGAAGGGTGTCAGAGAGCTGACGGGGCCTGCGCGTGCCTCACGCAGGGGTGCTGCACAGTACGAGGAGAAGGCCTGGCGTTTTGAGATTGAGTCGTGGCCAGGGTGGGGGTGGGGGGCACCATGACTGGCTCTGTACCCCTGGAGTGAGCGTGCCCATGCCGAGAGAAGGAAACACACAGGGAAGACATAGCCTCCCTAAGCCGAGCTGAAGGTCAGTGCCACAGCTAGGAGCCCCAGAGATGTGCAGGGTGTGTGTGTGTGTGTATGTGTGTGTGTGTGTGCTCGAGCTGAACATGGCTCTTTGTCAGTTCATGGAAGATCACCACACGCAGGCACACAGTGCCCCCTGCTGGTCAAACAGCCTGACCACAGCAACCTGCCGGCCCAAAGCCCAACGCAGGACTCTGCAGAGTGGTAACTCCCTTTGACTACATGCCCCACCCATGCTGAGGGCCTGTCTCTTGTAGGCTCCCTGTTCACCCTGTCACATGCCCCTTTGGGTCCATTAGAGAGGGGGATGCAAATCAGTTGTCTGAAAGCTGAACTGAGGCTCTGTTGCCCTCTGCACCTCCTCCTGGTTAGTGAGGTGAGTGGGCTGCTGAGGGACTGCTCCCTGGTGACCTCAGGAACCTAAGCCTGTGCTCTTGAGCAGGCTCCAGAGTCCAGCCCAGAAAAGAAGTGGTGAGTATCCATTTGGTGGACGAGTTTGCCCCCTGCTGGCCGAAGCTGGCACTTGCAGTCAGTACCCTCTCTTGCAGGAAGTGGGAAAGGGAAGGCAAAATGGGGTGTTTGGGGGGTAGTTCTGCCCCCCTTGCTTGGAGTTCCATGGAAGCCTGTGGTCAGGCAAGTTTGGGTCCAGCGGTCTTCACTGCTTTTCAGACCCTAGGCTGTTTTCGGGGTGGGCTGGGTGGGCTGGCCTCTCAGTCTGGGTCTGCAGCTTCTCCTTCCCGTTCCTGCAAGCCCCCCCCCCCCCGCCGCCCTGCTGAAGCAAAGGTGAGGGCAGGGGAGAGGCTCTGCTGAGGAGCAGCTGACCCAGGCAGTGTTGGGAGAGCAGAAGTCCCTGCTCTCCCATCCTGACTAGTGTCTAGTCGCCAGTCATGGTCTCATTTTCTCCTCACGGCAATACATTGGGCCAGTAAATATATCCCATCTTACGGGTTCATCATTCCAGTTACAGCAAGATTTGAATGGGGGCCCAAGCCCAGTACCTGGTGGGCAGAAGCGGGTGGGTGGGTCCCTGAGTTCAAGGCTAGCCTGATCTACAGAGTGAGTTCCAGGATAGCCCAGGGTTACACAAGAGACTGTCTCGAAAAAAAAAACAAAACAAAAACAAAAAAAAAAAAAGATTTGATTGTAGGCAACCAGAATAACTATGACTTTGTGTTGGGTGCTCATGTGTCTTTTTTTAATCTTTCTAGATGGTGTTTCTCTGTGTAGCTTTGTAGACCAGGCTGGCCTTGAACTCACAGACATCCACCTATCTCTGCCTCTTGGGTGCTGGGATTAAAGGTGTGCACCACCACCCCTGGCTGCTCACACTTTACCCCACTCCTCACAGAGAGGTGATCGGTCTGCACCAAACACTCCTCACCCTCACCTCATCTGGTTCCTCGCTGCACTGTGAGGAAGTGTTTTGATACGGTTTACAGGTTAACAATGGAGGCTCAGGAGTTTCCCAAGTGTCAGTGCCAGTGGACAGGCAGGCAAGGAAAGGAGGGGAGGAAGGTGTGACAGGACCCCTTCCCCACACTGCAAAGGGCAAAGGCAGAGAGAGGAGACCCGAGAAGCAGCCTGGTGGAGAGAGGCTGCTGTGTGTGAGGGGCTGCTGGCCTCTGAGCACGGGCTCCCGGCACACCGCCCTTCAGGAACACCAGAGTCCAGAGAAGGAAGGGCTGAGAGCCGCTCACCCCTTTGGAATCTCAAGGGGCTGTTGGCGGTTCACTCCCCCACCCTGCCTGGCACACCCAGGCCCTCCTCAAGTAGCAGGGACTTAACATAGCTAAGGGACGGTGGAAGGGACATGTGACTTGGCTAGGAACCTTCTTCTTGGCCCTCTCTTGGTCTCTTGTGCTGTTTCTGTATTTTTCTGTTTCTCCATTTGGTTTCGCCACCCTCCAGGTCCCTGGTCCTCTCCGCCTCCCTTTGCCTCAGTTTCCTTTTCTTTCTGGAGGACTTGTCTCGTGGTTTTGTACCCTCGGAATGACATGTGTGAGGGTGTGGCATCACAAAGGGGAGACATGACTGGGTGTTGTCCCAAGAGTTTCTGGACGACGGCAGAGTGTGAAGATTGATGGTTTATTGGGAAACAAAAGCGCCCAACCCAAATACCAGCAGCCCCCACCCCCATCCTTGACCAAAAATAAATAAGATGACATTCAACGAGCCATCTGTCCCTCTGCTCTGGGGCAGTGTCCGCTCTGCCCATGCCCACTTGAGGGCTGGCTTGCGCATGCGAGAGGTTGGGTTGGATGAGATAAGCAGGCTGCTGCCCCCCTTTTCTGGTGTGGTCCTGGGCAGCCTGAGAGCTTGGCACTGCCCTCACAATCTCTGAGGTCTGCCTGTTCCAGAAGAGACCCTGTCCCCGTCACACTCCAGCCCCTGGCCCCCACCCGAGTGTCCATTGTGGGCTTCTGCTTCCATCTCTATCTTCAGCATGGGTCCAGCGACTCTTCCCCACCAAGAGGGCTGTTGGGAAAGATGCCCTGAGGCTTGGTTTTCGGGGACTGAGGGACCGGCCCCTGCCTGGTGCTGCTCAGTGCGCCGTCAGCTCTATGGACTTCTTCCGCTCCTCCCGATGCTCTTCCCAGTCCTCCTCCGGCTCATATGTGCCTTTGACCACAGCCACTCGGTCGCTCAGGCTCAGGGAGGAGGGGAAGAGCAGGTAGAAGTAGAGCAGGGCAGCCAAGATGGCCCCCACAATCGGCCCCACCCAGAAGACCTGTGGAGACAGGGTTAAAGTCAGAAGCTGGGCCCCTCACCAGAACACAGATGCATGGACCCTCAAAGGAAGTGGACCTGAAGACTTGTAGGTCTCCAGAGGGAAAGGTGTCCTCCCATCTTGGGGACCGACACTGTCCGTCAGTTCTTAATAACAAAGTCATGGATCACAGACACACAGACCCTTCACGGAGGTCGGCAGAGCCCAGAACAGACAGCTTCCTCATCCCACTCTAAAGAGAGGCAAGGGAACCTTCTGAGGAGACGAACAGAGCCACCCCCAGGTCTCCCACAGTGTAGAGCTGAGAGAGCTGAGCCAGCGCTGCCCTGCTGAAGCCCCAGCAAGGCTCTGCCGCCCTTTTTGGCACTCCAAGCCTGGCTGACATGTCGACACAACACACTGTCCAGAGGGACAGTCCCAGAAGGACACACTTCCAACATCCCCACTGGGATGATAAACTCAGCATCAGAGGACAGATGCTCAGAGGGACAGACCAAACCCTCAGAGGAGATCAACACACATGCCCGCCGCTCACTTGTAGAGGAGTGTTGATTCACCCCTCCCTCCTGGCCGCACTTCAGTCCCTTCTGTGTTCCCTGCCCCTTCCAACCCCCAAGTTCTGGGCCCACAACATCCAGAAGTCCAGGAGTGACTGGACTTAGGCAGCCAGGGGAGGTCCATACTCACCCAGTGAGAGGGGCTGAACCGATCCATGACCACCGCTGGGCCGAAAGAGCGGGCTGGGTTCATGGAGCAGCCGGTGAAGTAGATCTGGGTAGATGGGGGTCACAGTGAGGAGGGCACCTTCCCTTCCCCTGCCACAGAATCCTGATGCTCTCAGGGGCACACAGTGCAGGGACCACCCACATCTCGAAGTCAGGCTTCCCAGTTCCTAGGCTGCAACTCTGTCCACGCAGCCCAGCTGTCCATCAAACCACGCACTCCCAACCATGCCCTCTGCCTCCTCATCTCGACTTGGGCTTGGTTCTCTCAGCTCACCCTCCCTCCTACTTATTCACATTGTTTCTCAGCCCGGAGAGGCTTCTCTGGGGGAAGGGGGCCCAGAAACCCCAAGACCAGGCCGTATCCTCTGCCAGGCCTTAGCCTTCTCGGGAGACGCTGTTCTAAGGCTCTACTATTTATCCTGAGCGACTTCTCTCCAGGACACCCAGCTTGTGTCAGCACCACTCACCCCCACCAGATGGCCCAGTGTGACGGACAGGCCGATGGACAGAGCTGGGGAGCCCACGGGGCTGGTGCGGCGGGAGTCAGTGGAGGAGAAGATGCAGAGCGCCAGCTGGAAGGTCAAGATTATCTCCACCACCGTGGCCTTGCCCGGTGTTGTGCTGTTGCTGAGCTACAAGGGAAAGCTGGATTAGGACCCCGCTGCCTGCAGGTTCTGTGACTGGGCTAGAGGAGTAAGGGTCTGGCCTTCAAGGACACCTACAGCCTGAGCTCCTGGAAGCCAAGCCCTGTGCATGAACCCGGCAGCCATTCGTGGGAGAAACTGTATGTACTTCAGAGTGCACAGGCTTGAAGCTCAGGCCTGTAGCCAGAGGGTAGGGTGTCAGCTTTTCCTGGGTGCCATCGTGTCAACGGCTCTGCCCAATCCCCAGCCCCCACAAGCTGGCATTTACCCTCCCTCCTGTGGGCAGCTGCCCAGTTTGCCTACTGCAAACAGCCCCTGGCCTCCTATCCGTGCCTGACCCGCGGCTGGTGCCAACCTCAAACCCGTCTCTCCAGTGTGGCTGACTCACGGCTTGACAATGGCCGCGAAAATCCTCCTCTGTGTTTGATTAGTGAACCCAGTTCACATGGGACAGGGGGCTGAATCTAGGGCTGAAAAAATGGGGAGGCAGCAGGGGACAGAAGCAGGGCTTACAAAGCGGGAGCTGGTACTTGGGGGGTGTCACATCATAGCTTCTAAGTGCAACCCCTACGACACTTGCTGTGCTATGACCGGCTAATAAATCGGAAGCTCAGGGAGATCAGGGTTACCACAGACCATGGTTATGATCCATGGCTCTTTGATAGGCTACTTAGAAGTACACGAACAAGGGGATGGCAAGAAAGAACTCATAGGTGAGCCTAGAAGCCCAAGGCTGTTTCGGCACCCACGGCGAGCAAGGCCAGGTGGAGCAGTACAAGAGGAGGGGGCAGGTGAAGTAGAGTGAGGAGAAGCTGGGACAGGAGCACACGGGTTGGCCGCGAGGTTGGGGGGCCTGCTTTTCCTGGAAAAGTTGTCCACCTGCTTTTTGGTTGTACCCATTCTGAAGAAGGAGGAGGAGCATGGGGCGTCTGGTCTTAACTGTTCCCAGGGTCTCTGTCCACCCCCTCACAGTCTGCTGGGCACTCACCGCATTGACGGCCAGGTTGCCCCGAGCATTGGTTGGCGCCAACCAGTAGAGAAGGCCTGCCCCAGCAATGGCGCCCACCAGCTGGGCTGCCACGTAGAAGACAGCCCGGAGCAGGGAAATCTGGTTGCCTACTAAGAGGGCCAGAGTTATGGCTGGATTGATGTGGCCACCGCTCACAGGTCCCAGAGCTTGAGCCAGGGTACCTATGGCCAGGCCAAAGGCGATGGAGATCTGCAGAATGGAGGGCAGCGCCGAGGGCCACTTGAGTGCCGAGCCCAGGCCAAAGAAGACGAAGATGAGGGTGGCCAGGAACTCCGCGAACACAGCCTTGAAGAAGGCCACTGAGCACACTTCCTTCTTCATGGTGGCCTTGGGGCCCCGGTGGCAACCGCAGCGACGCACGGAGGCCGTCGGGGCGGCGCTGGCAGCTGCGGGCGGCTGGCTGCGGGGCTCTGCGCGCGGTGCGGCGCCCACTCCGTGGCAGGCGGCCTGGCGCGGTCCCGGCAGGGGTGCGCTATATAGAGGGCGCGCACCCCGCGGCGGGCAGAGCGCGGGGGGGCCGGGGGCGGCTCCCGTGCCCAGGGGCCAGCGCAGCGCGCAGGGAGCGAGCCTGGCGGGCACGCGCTCGCCGCCCCCGGCCCCGCGCGCCCCCGACCCCCCACCCGCACAGCGGCGGACCCGCCCGGGCCACGTGACCCACGCGGCCGTGTAGACCGGCCCCGAGGTCTGGGTGGCGCGCATCGTACGCTCCGCGCGGCTCCCGCGCCCTCCTGGCCGACGTGCGTTCCCGGGCTCCCTGGCTGGGCTGCTGCCTCCGGTCGCTCAGAGCTCTGCAAGTCCCTCTGGCCGGCCTTCACCTGAGTCCCGGGACGGCTGACAGTCTTCTCCTTTTCTGCTCCTGCTCCTCGGGCTTTTGGTCCAGCTGCTGCTTTTCCTCGCACGACCGGAGCATCCTGACCCGGCTTCACCCACGGCCGGGCCAGAGTGATGCGATTCTCTGAGGACAGCGCCTCTTAGCTCCCTATCCGCCCGTGGCGGGGGCGGTCCGGCGATCGTGGGCCTCTCCCCGGTCCAGCCCGGCATGAGCGGGGGCGTTGGATAGGGAACGCAGTGCCAGCCTGCCCTGCGCTTGGCAATCCTCGACGCCACGTGAGGCAGTGTCGGTTTTAGGAGACATTCTCCGTGTAGCCCTTGGGGGCCCTGGGGTGGTGACTGATTTGGGTTTAGGAAAGACGCCCTGAGACTGGGATTAGAGTGAAGGTCTTGGCCTCTCCTGTTACCGACCCAGAAGTCCCTCACTTTAGACCTCCGCTTACTTCTCTCTTCCTCCTCAACCAGCTTCTGACGCCTCTGAAGGCACATTTAAACCCTCATTTAGTTTTGGTTGCTCTCCAAGTGGCTGTTTGTTTCTTATCCCTGTAGGTCTTTCATCCACGGTGGCCGGCTCAGTTTCTCTCTCTCTCTCTCTCTCTCTCTCTCTCTCTCTCTCTCTCTCTCTCTCTCTCTCTCTCTCTCTCTCTCTCTCTCTCTCTCTGTGTCTCTCTTGCTCTCTCTCTCTGTGTCTCTCTTGCTCTCTCTCTCTCTTGCTCTCTCTCTCTCTCTCTCTCTCTCTCTCTCTCTCTCTCTCTCTCTCTCTCTGTGTGTGTGTTCGTTCGTTCGTCTCTGTCCCCCTCTCCACTAGACTCTTGACTGTTGTTTCTTTTTCTCTAACACTTTTTGTCTTCTAAGTCTTCATCCTTCTGCTGTCGTCTCTCTGACTCTCGGTTTCTGCTTTTTTCTTTTACAGTCAACCTGCCTATTGCTATTTCTAGCTATTCTCTATGTCACCGTTTTTCAGTCTCTTTTAGTCCGTGGGTCTTTGTTTCTGCCTGTCTCTATCCCATTTGTCTACCTGACTCTCATACAGTTTGTCTTTCTGGCTCTCACTTCCACTCTCAGAGTGGGCAACGCATTTTTCTAGTTCCCGACTCCCCTTGTCCTTGTCTCCTCCCTCTGCTTCCAGACCTCCGCTGCTGTTCTCAGCCATCCCCAGGTTTCATATGTGTGGAGAGAAGCTGGAGGGCTTTCCCAGGACTTGGGGGCAGGGCACAGGGTCCCGGTAGAGAAGCTGCCCCCCTCTGCCCCCCACATTCAAGCCTGAGCACTTTGCACTGTGCCAGCCATGGAGCAAGGCTCTTCTCATACTGTGATCCATTTTAAAAGCCTCCTAGGGCAATTCAGTGCTAGGTGCCACAGAGGATAAGACAGTGTGTCCAGCAGGGCATGAGAGGAGGCGCCTACAGAAACGCAAGAACCTGGAGGAGGGACTCCAGGCCAGGTGGCAGCTAAGAGGCCAAAGAAAACAGGGTCCAAAGAAACCCCACTATTGTTCCCCTTTCTGCCTGGCATTTCCTGCTGAGTGACTCCTCCCCATCGGCTGCTGTCAGGTGGACTGTTCTTTTCTCTGTGGGGCTGTGAGGCTATGTCCCCAGCAGGGCATGGCGCGGCAGCTACAATCAGCATTTTCTTCAGGGTTTGACGTTCAGACTGGAGAATGGTTATGATCACCTCAGAGACCTTGAGGCCAGACACCCACCTTCCTTTTTGCAGCACTTATTTTGCCTTCCCTTGGCACACACACACCCTTCCCCCTGCCCTTCATCTTCTCTGCCCAGGCACCCACCGTCTTCCTGAATCCATAGGTCTGACAATCTGTCTTCCCAGAGTGAGCAGGACTCAAGTGCTCCCGGGAGATTGACCCATCACAGGAAGTTCCTGCCTGAGAATTTGAGCCTTCTCTTTCCCAGCTAACAAAGGAAATTGGAAAGGCCAAGAACTTGTTCTTTCTGGGAATACAGCTCAGTGGTAGAGCCCTTGCCCAGTATATGTTCAATTCCCAGTGCTGGAAAGGAAACAGGCTAGTTTGGGTCAGGCATGGTAGGTAGCTCACTCCTTTCATTCCAGTCTTTGGGAGGCAGAGGCAGGAAGATTTCTATGAGTTCAAGTCCAGCCTGGTCTATGGAGTGAGTTCTAGGTCAGTCAGAGACTACATAGTGAGACCATATCTCAAAAACAAACAAAAGAATAGTTCTTGCCATTTTATGGATTAAAATGTGATTTTATTCCAAGCAACCTGATGAGGGGACCAGATCTCAGAAATCACTTGCTCAGGCTGCCACAGTGGCCTAGGATGGAGACCACAGCTTGCTACACAGACTTGGTCACAAGGAATGGCATTGGTGTGACCAAAGGAGGCCCCCCGTCTGTCAAGCTCCTCCCAGGGGGCAGCTGGTTCTGTTTCCAAGGCTTATGTCTAAGGCCTTTCTCTACCCATCAGGGTCACCAGGTCTCTTACTGGAGAAATGATGGGAGAGACTCACTGGCAAAAATATGGGAATGTGGGAAGAGAAAGGAGCCTGTCACCCCAGAGTCTGGGTGGAGACTCTTACTAACTGAGAACCAAGAATTCCAAAACAATTGGCAACATTTGTTTAAGGCCTTTCTCCTTTCCCAACCATAGACCCTCAGTTTTCCAGTCACCCAGGAAAGGCCCCAGTGTACAATAAAAAGACATTCTAACCAACTTGTGAAATCGTCATCTCTCCGTGTTTCCTTATCTCGTTGTAATCCCACCCAAGACACCTCTGGAGCTACTTTATAATCTGTTACAGACAGGAGACTCAGACTAGCTCAGAGTCAATAATTCCAACGCAATTAACATTTGCTTAAGGCTTCTTCTTCCCCAGTGGTAAACCTGTAATTTTCTAGAAATCTTACCAGACACCCCCTTTACAGTAAAATCATACATTCTAACCCCGTTGTGCAACCCTAGTGGCTTCTGGTTTTGTTTTATTGGATTGCAATCCTATCCAAGGCTCTTCTAGAGCACTTCCAGAGCTACCCTGAAATCTCATTTATTGAAGAAAAATAGTTAGCAACCCTTTGAGAGCCGCCAATATATTATATATGGCTAAGACTTAGACATTTCATTGGGACTCTCCGAGAAGCCAATACCCATACACTCAGGTAGTTCTTATTTTTCTTTTAATAAAAGCATCTTTTAATGAACTCCATCTCTGCTTCATACTGACTTCTCCTGGTGTTCTTTTCTGTGTCAGTGCCAAAGATCTGGTTTGAACTAAAGATTAAGGGAACTTAGGCACTTATGGGTGACAATGGGACTGTGATCCTGTCCCTGCCACTTCTGTCATAGGCCCTAGATTTTAGAATTGGGGGCTGGAGCGATGGCTCCATGGTTAAGAGCACTGGCTGCTCTTCCAGAGGACCTGGGTTCCATTCCCAGCGCTCACACGGTGGCTTTCAATGATCTGTAACCCAGTCTGAGGGCTGTCCTATTCTAGCATTCATGGGCACCAGGCACACACATGGTGCACAGACATATATGCAGGCAAATTCATGACACAAAAGAGAAAATAAAAGTAATAATGATAATAATTGTCTTTGTGCCTGGCTGTGGTGGTGCATACCTTTAATCCCAGCACTCGGGTGGCAGAGGCTGGTGGATCTTTGTGAGTTCGAGGTCAGCCTGGTCTATAGAGTGAGTTCCAGGACAGCCAGCGTGTTACACAAAGAAACCCTGTCTCAAAAAAAAAAAAAAAGGAATTGTCTTTGTCCTATGCACTGAAGGTCCTGATCTTCCTGCTCCAAAGGAAGTTCCCCGGGAACTTTCGGGTTGTCTCCCCACTGTGGCAAAGGAGCTAGCTAGCATCTCAGAGAAAGGCTCTTCTCCCATCTCTCCCAGTACAGGGACCTCTGGAAGGAGAGGGCTGGCGTTAGCACTGTCTCTGGCATGGGGACTCTACTGACCACTTTCTTTTCTTTTTAACTTCATTTTTACATTCCAGTCCCAGTTGCCCCTTCCTCCGCTCCTCCCACTTTCCCCCCCACCTCTCATCTACTCCCCGGAGAGGGTTATACTGACCACTTTTAAACTGTAGAATAGAGAAAGCATTCATTGACAAACGAGCATTTATTGAGTGTTTACTATGCAGAACACTGTGTTAGATAAGACCAACAGGGAAAGATGGTAAGAGAATCCCTCTGAACTGGTTACAATGTGTCTGAGAGGCATGGGATACATACAGGGCCACAGCTTAAAGACACAAGCATCAAAGCAACTTTGGGAGGGATGAAGTCATTCTGCACAAGTGGGGAACGGGGAAGGATGCCACCGGGACAGGCAGTCAGCCACTTCCTCCTGCCAGCCCAGAGCTGTGTGTGTCCCTAGCTTGGGGACCCGGAAGTCTGTCCACCTGCCTCCATGCTGCCCCGTGTCTGTCTAGTTTGGGTGTGTCTGATCTCCACCGTCTTCACTGGGTGATCTTCAAGGGCAGGAACCACCCATGAGTCCTTGTGCCATTTCCTCTTGACCCGTCACCACCCTCTTCAAGGCTCTCTGTCCACTACATGACAGGGACTTGGACTGGGCTGAACCAGCCCAGCTGAGTGTTCTGGTTTCTGTTAGGGGCTCTCAGGAAGGACCTAGTGCTTGTGTCAGTGGAAAGATATGTGACTTTGTGTAAGACAGCCTGGGTTCAAGTCTTGACTCTGCTGTGTTTTAGCTGTGTGTCTTCGGGCCTCAGTTTCAGGATCAAATGGGAAAAGAAGCTTCTGTTCTGCCTATCTCATAAAGTTGGAACGTTAAGGAATTTGTTTGGAAATAGTAAAGCCTTACATGGCTGGGGGCTATGACCTTTCCTGAACCCGACCGGAGGTTTCCATCAGATGAGTTAATACATAGGAAGTGGCCAGCCCTGGTGCTGGGGCACAGAGAAACTCATCACCCCTATTCCTCCATTCTCCCATCATTTAGAGTCCTGCTTGGACCTCTGGCCACAGTGTTGGGGAGGTTGTGACTCAGGAAGTGGTTCAGAGACATTCTTGACCTTCAAGAGGGGTTTGTTGGGGGGGGTAAAGTCGAGTGGGGATGTAATGCCTTGATGCTTTGAACTTTCAGAGAAGTGACGGAGGGGCAGCCCCAGAGGTCACTGATGCCATAAGGTCAAGCCACTGTCACCAGCTGATGGAGTACGGGAGGTCCTCTCCACAGTGGGTATGTCCAACGTGCCTCTTCTTGCCTCCAATGAGAAATTTGGTCAGGGAGACAGGAAGGTCACAGTTACAGAGATCTGGTCACAGAGTGGGAGGCTGGTGTTGGGGGACAGATGCAGTCAGAAGCCTAGAGAGTGCGGGGGTGACAGAAAGCTGGAGAAGGGGCTCAAGGTGTGAGCCTCAGACTAGTTAGTGGCTGCAGAGACAGAGAAGGTGCTGAGGGAGGGCTGCCAGCTAGCAGCCAATAAGGAAAGGTTTAGAGCCTGGACCAGGAGGGGGCAGCGCCAAACCCAGCTCCTTCTGCCTGGACCTTGGGGCCCCAGGGTTCTCGTTTGCTTTAACTACCAGTTGCAAGTCTGCCTTCCCCTACTGGAGAAGGCAGCAATAATGGAAATGTGTGTGATGGTGAAAAGAACCACAGTTCCCACAGAGTCTTTATAGTCATGGTCTCACTTAATCCCAGTTTAATCTCACTTGAGAACCGTTGCCCTGCACTGAGCATTTACAGATTCTGCCTCGCCTCCTGCGTGGTCAAGTCACTTCCTTTCTCTGATTCTGAGCAACAGCAGACTGCAAGGTCCCCACACAGTCAGGCAGTGGGAGCTGGAAGAGGGTGGATCCCAGGGCAGGGAGGAAGGAAAGAGGAAACAGAGATTCCTGGGGAGGAGGGGCAGCAAGTGATGGAGGGGTGTTGCTTGGAGCCTGTGGTTGCATGCCTGAGCACCTTGCCAGCCATAGGCATGTGCCGTGTGCTGGGCTCTGGGGCTCACTTGCGAAACCGAGTATCTCCTTTCAAACAGTGTCTAATTGCAAATCCCCCCTCTCCCAGGACAAAAGCTGGGGCCCTACAGAGAGCTTTTGTTTTCTTTGCCCAAGTGGAAGACTAATCTTTGGGTGTATGTGAGCTCCCTGGGGAAGGGAGTCATGCACAAACTCATATGCTTGCCTCCCCTCTCCCCGCTGAAGAGCCCTCCCTCGGGGCAGAAAAAAAAGTCCTTGGATACACAGTCCTCCCTTCTTCAGAGGTCATGTCTAGGGGACTTGTTCTCTAGCTGACACGTTCCTTCAAGCAATGAGTCCTGGCAAGTCTTTGGTCCAGGACTTCCCAGAGAGTCGAGGAAGAGGTTGGAAACCAGCCCCCCCCCTTCCCCGGCCTGGCTTGCTAGGAGGATTCATTCACAGCAGAGGAAGTAGATTTATTGCAGGTGTAGGAGGAGGCGTCCCTGGGCCCTGTATCATCATGGACATTCAGGGTCACACTCAGGCACACGCAGACCCTGCACGTGAGGAGAGAAGCATGCAGAAATGGACGATTTACACCCAAACAAAACCAGATACCAACCACAGACCCACCCCATCCCCAAGGTGGTCTCTATGCGTCACCCCCTGCACCAGGTGCGGGCTCTCCAGAGCTCTCCATCCTCCCGCCGCCGGCCTGCTTTCCCTCTCCACCGGCTTGGTCCCCAAGTTCCTGGTTCCCCGCAAAGGGCGAACCGGATGGTTGCTGTGGCCTGGGGTGCTGCCAGGCTCCCGGGCGAGGCCCTTCTTGAGGTTCACGGAGCTCGCGGGCGCTGGAGCAGCCACTCTGCGCTGGGGGCGGACAACGGGCCAAGGGGAGGGAGAGGGCGAGCCGTCGGCGGGCTGCGCTGTGGTGGAGAGCTGAGGGGCGGGGCGGGGCGGTGCGGGGCTCTCAGGCCTTGCTCCCGCGCGGCAGGCTCTGCGGGGAGTGGAGCTCCACCGACTGCCGCCGCCGGACCTCGCGCTCCTCCCAGTCGGTGTCGGGCTCCAGGCCCTTGAGCACCGCCAGACGCTCCTGCAGGCTCTTTGCTGAAGGGAACAGCAGGTAGTTGTAGAGGAGGGAGCCGATGATAGCGCCCACCAGGGGTCCGATCCAGAAGACCTGGAGGGTGGGGGGAGGAGAGGTTCTGGCACTGGCTCACCCAGCCCGCGGAACCCCCTGGACATGCTGCTGTCTCGGCTGTGTAGGAACCGACCCTCAGGTGCCATGGTCAGCATGAGCTGCCAAGGGCGGCTTGTTAGCGTGGGGGGGGACGGGGAGAGGGCTGCCTGCCTGTCTGTGAGTCCGGACTCCACCACTTGTGTGAACTTGGGCAACTCACTTGCACAGAGCCTGTTTCTTTTTCTTACAAAAATGCTCACTTCCTAGACATGGGGCGATTAAATGGGCGGCACGGTTTGCAAAGCTCTGAAAATGGAGCCTAGCACATACCGAGCACTACTAACTATTAAGCCTGAATATCATTTATTGAGTTCTGAATGCCACACACTGTGTTATGGAGATATGCTCGCTTAATTTCCCCAAGAAAGCCTGTAAAACACTGACTGTTACCTTGATTTATAGCAAGGGACAGAGGAAGACAGAATCGTTGGAGGCTCTGGAGGGTGGAACAAAGGTTTCCCAGAACCTCAGGACAAGTGGAGAGGGGTTGAGAAGTTCACCCCTCGATCCCCCCACACACTACACACAGATACATTGTAGCTCCCTAATGTCTCTCTGGGATGATGTCTAGGAATGGGGAAGACAGGTTTGGCCATTACCCAATGGTCATCAAACTTGCCAGTGATGACTGCTGGAGCCAGGGAACGTGCGGGATTCATGGAGCAGCCGGTGAAGTAGATCTGTAGTAGGAAGTGGGGGTGGAGAGGCAGGGAGTGAGAGCAGGGCTGGGGCATCCTCACCACACTCCCAGTGGTTGAGAAGCTTGGACTCAGCTGAAAGTGAACCTTTTGTCCCAGCACTTGGGAGGCAGAGGCAGACAAGATCTTCATGAATATAAGGATACCAAGTTTCAGGTCAGCCAAGGCTACATAGTGAGACCCAATCTCAAAAACAAACAAACAAAAACAAATCCCAAAAACCAAAATCAATCAAACAAAAACCAAGAAACCTACGGGTGGCTATCTGCCCTCTAGGGGTGTGTGTGAGTTTCATATTGTGTCTTCCTTGGGCATACTGTGTGACCGTCCTTGGGGAGTTGTATGTGTCTATCCCTACAGTGTCCCATGTGGATGTTTCTTCCGGGGACATGTGTGTTTTGTTTCCTTTGGGTGGCTGGAACCTGTGGCCATGACTTACCCCAAGGAGGTGGCCTAGGGTAACAGAGAAACCGATGGAGAGAGCAGGGCTGCCCAGGTTGTCACTGCGGCGTTCATCAGTGGAGGCAAAGATGCAGAGCACCAGCTGCAGGGTCAGGAAGAGCTCCACAGTCACAGCCTGGCCCGCTGTTGCGTTGTTGTGGAGCTGGGGGGAAGAGAGGGGGTGAGTGGAGGTCGGTCACATTGCCTGTCCCCTTGCTTAGGGCTCCTCGGGGGGCATCTAGGCTGAGAGCCAGAAAACTGCCCTTTCCCCAAGGCAGGGCATGGGCCCCGGCAGCCTGAGGGTGGGAGTGGATCCCAGAACCTAACAGGTGAGTAGGCTGAGGTCTCTGATTGCAGCAGGAAGTGTTAGGACTGGGAACAGAACTTTATCTCGGTCACACAGATGCAAGGAGACGCTGAGGGGATCAATCTTCCTGCGGTCCCACGGTCAAGGAACTTATAGTCTGGGGGGGGTCACCTCTGCCTTCCCCTCTCCCGTTGCATGCAGACTTTCTGTCCCCAGAACTGCTCCCTGCACACCCTGTGAAGGCTGGGGAGAGGGGTTAGAACGCTGAAGGTAAAGCCTCCATAACCACACGGGGTGCCCTTGGTCACTGCAGCCCCTGCTGTGGGCAGGAAGAGGACTTGGGGCTGAGCTAAGAGGCCCTTTCATAACCTGGCCGCACCCAGTGCTGAATTTCTCCCTGAGTTTTGTCATCCTGTACCCCACGCCCTGCCCTCTGGGGCTGAGCACTGCACAGGGTGGGCCAGTGACAATTCATAACTTCCACACTCCTTCTCTAGGTCCTGAGTTCCTACCTGGCACCTCAAGGTCTTTCTAGGGTCCAGCCTCAACCTCTACTATGCTACAACCTGTTAGAGACAGGAAAGAGGACTTAGGACTGCCGCTTTGGAGGCTTCTGGTTTGCTGGGGACTCTTTGTTTTGGTCTCAGTGGCTACTAAAAACCAATCCTGGAAGGTCGGGATGACAAAGGAGAGCCTCCAATCCCACTCTTGTTGGCAGTGGCTGTTCGAGGGAGAGGGTCGAGATATGGGTCTGATGTCACATAGCCAGGGCTGTTTCTAGAAGACATTGTTAACTGCCTCCATGATTTGGGCCCACTGAATACTGGGTTACAGCTATAGGGTGGGGGGGGAGAGGCCTTAGAACTGAATTTACAGGGCTGTACCACAGATAAGATAGGTTTTGGCCTGGCATACGGCAGATCTGCCTCAGTGGCAACTTCCTGGGGCCCAAGCTGACTCTTGGTGGCATCCTTAGAGAACACTGAGCAGCTTGGGTGGTCACTGGTCCCTCTCTCACTAGCCTCAGGGCAAACGGGCCACTATGCTGCCTTATTCTAGACCGGCAGGGTTCCCTCTGCCACCCAAGATGGCTCAGTGCAGATGAACAGCCTTTGATGGTGACTGCTGGGCAGGCTGGGAAACGTTGGAGGACAAGGACTGACCACTCCCCAGGGCCTTAGCTTTCCCAGTGCCTTCTTGCTGGAGAAAGAAAGTCTGAGGTATTCTCTCAGGAAAGCCTCCTTAGACTCTAGCTAGATGTCTCCCTGTTGCCAAACAAACTCATTTAATTTTGAATGGAAATAGCCACACTCCATCCCTCATCTCAGCCCCTTTGCCTTTTGGGCGCTAGGTGCCCAGCCTCACAGCATTATCCATTTTGAAGGAGAGTGTTCCCTAACTGGCGGACCTCTGTCCCTCTCATGAGGAAAGCCATCTCTTCAGATGAGGAGAGTGTGCAGGGCCAAGGGACTGAGTAAGCAGAGCTTGAGGAGGAAGGAGGCAGGACAGGATCTTGCTTTCCTGGTTTGGGGTAGGGGACCAGAGTGCTGAAGGAATCCCTAGATTCCTAGGCCTGCACAGATTGGAGAGGAGAGGGATCATGGCTGCCCTCAAATTACCCTGCAGGCTTCTGGTAGTTCTGGCACGAACAAACTCTAGAACATGCCATCTACTGCTTCCCTTCCCAAATCTGTTTCTTAGTTTGTGAGACAAAAACCAGATGGTATTTACGACAATTTGTTGAGAGAGAGATTACAGGTTTTGAGGGTTTAGCCCACCCCCTCCCCAAGCATGCCCCTCCCTTCCAGAGTTGTCAGTGTTTGGCTCATGAGGAACACTGTCGTCCTCATGCCATCAGCGCTGTGGAGATATTGTATCCCTTCCCTTTCTAGATCTTTGCAACCGCACCCCAAAATTCCCAAGGCCCCAAAGGCCCGTTCGTCTGTACTGGGGTGCTGTGTCTAGCTGTGCTCTACTGGAGCTCTCCTCTGGAGTCCAGCAGAAACCCAAGCCTGCTCTCCCTTGGTGGTACTGGGTGGAAAGCCCCACAGGTGGCCCCCAGGATTCTCTTCCTGGTGACTTGGTGGCTGTCTCCCCAGCTCTCCTGGGGCAGTTGACCGAATTCCTAGCCTTAGGCTCTCTGTGTCCCCACTCAGCGTGTCCCACACATCTTATCCCGCACAAGGGTTCTCACCGTCTGCCCCCCTAGAAAGGACAAAGCTCCCTTTGGCTACTCACGGCATTGACAGCCAGGTCCCCGCGGATTTCTATTGGAGTAATCTCATGGAGTATGGCTGCCCCGGCCACAGCCCCCAGCAGCTGCGCAGCCACATAGAAGGCAGCCCGGAGGAAGGAGACATGACAGCCCACTAAGCAGGCCACAGTCACAGCAGGGTTGATGTGGGCCCCGCTGACATGGCCCAGAGCCTGAACCAGGGTGCCAATGCCCAGGCCAAAGGCCACGGCGATCTGGAGCACAGAGGGTGGGGAGCTGGCCCACTGGAGGGCTGAGCCAAGACCAAAGAAAACGAAAAGGAGAGTGGCCAGGAATTCAGCCAACACGGCCCGGGAGAAGGCTATGGATCGGAGTTCCCACATGCCGCTCAGCCTTCTGAACCCTGGCCTGGGGTCTGGGCCACCGGGGTGGCTTTTCCTAGCCCCCTCTCTCTTTCTCTGGCCCTCTGCGGAGGCTGGGTCTTGGGCACTTATAGGGCTTTTCTGTCCTGGACTTGGGCACGTGAGGTAGAGGAGGTGTGTCTGCCAATGCCATGCTCTCCCATGGTGGCCTTGCCCCCACCCTGCCCCTGCCCACCCAGTGGCCTATCATACCATCTTGGCTTTCACAGCTGACTAATGTTCTCCTCATTAATGAACTCTAGATAAGGATTGACGTCCCCTGTTTTCCGTGTTTGTTCCCTCCGTTACCCCAGGGAGCTGCCCCAGGGCCTCCCCAGCACCCACAGTGACCACTACCAGCAGCACCAGTTCCGACAGAGCAGACTGTGCCCACTGACCTTCTCATTGACTAGGAGGTTGGTCAAGGAAGGGGCAATGCCTCATCCCAAACCGACTATGAGGAACTGTTAGAGCTACCTCTCCACTGACTGGATGTCTTCCTTCTGGAAGGGGATGGAAAACAACTGGATGACCTGTGACAAATTCCAAGGCAAAAATTCTTGGGCTTGCTTTCCTGCAGTTAATCACCCATAAGTCATTAGCTTCACCTTCACCCAGGAGCCCCAGTGAGAGAGCAACTCCCATTGCCTGGAGCTAAGGGTGGCTCAGTGGCCCTGGGATCCTGGGGTCCTGCATGGTGAAGTCACCTAGGGTCACCTTAGGAAAACGAGGGCTTTGAATTTCTGTAGCACAGCCATCCTTATAGGCTCAAGGAAGCCATGGTGCCTGCTAGTGACTCTCTAGGCTTAGTGCCCTCAACTTGGTCAGTGTTCAAGTGAGGCCACCCTGTTGTCGCAGCTGCTGTGGCTGCTGAGGCCTAGAAGATGGGCTACCCCATGCCTCTTTCTTCTTCGGAGATCCAAAGGTGGGTGGGCTCAGCACGTCCAGATAATGGCTTCGAGTCCTCACGGCCAGCAACAGACCTAGAAGCAGACATTTGGAGGGACTGACGAGCGTAGAGTGGAGACACTTATGCTATGGTTAAAGGGGGAAACAGGTCAAGGGAGGGCCGGCTACTTATCCAAGCTGTCCCAGAGGGCTGACGACTGATATGGGACTAGCACCTAGTGTGGAGTGGTACCCATGACACCCTCCTCTGCTGAGGCCTGCTGAGCCTCTCCTTACCTGGACAATGGTGGCAATGATATTTCCTCCATGTGTTTGTTTCCAGAATGTAGCAAGGTGGAACAGGCATCCACCTCTCTCTCTCTCTCTCTCTCTCTCTCTCTCTCTCTCTCTCTCTCTCACACACACACACACACAAACCTTGTAACCCCTGCTGTTAGGGAGGGAAATGAGAACGAGGAGGAAGACACCACAAATGGCCTTAATACAGGCAAGCTCCAGAACAGTAGGGATCCTCAGAGGGTTTGGGCCTCAGGTAGTGCTTGCACAAGGTGTCTTGTCCCAGATGTTCCCTTCTCAGGGTCCCTGCCCTCCGATTCAGGCTCTCCAGAGAAAGTCAGAGCCCTGTTTTGAGAAGGGTACCTGTGGTTCAGTTTTCTCCTTCAACTATAGCATACCCAGACTTGGTACATAAAAAGGCTGGAGGCCCCCACCCAGGGAATGTATCTTGACTGCTTTTCGATGATATGTACTATATTTATGTACTAACTCCCTCTATACCTCAGTCCCTGTCTATCTCAGTTGTCCCTGAAAAACCCTAGGCCTTATATGAGCTGAAGCTTCCACAGTGTCTCCAAACCCACCCTTGACCATTGCCTGTGTGACCTTCAGTGAGCCACACGCACACCCTTTCTGGTCTATACCTTACTTGTGATCATGAGAGCATCGTTACTTGGTTCTGAGCCTAGATAGCACTGCCTATGGCCAGCTAGTGTCACCATAGACCCGGAATAGATATTTATCACGTCACCACAAAACCTCGCCACAAATTTGGGCGGTTTTTGCTACACATTCATATTTCCACAGGGCGAGGTGTGTGTCTCAAGCTGCCTGGCACACATGAAGCCCTGGGTTCTGTTCCCTGCGCTGAAACAACAAAACAACAGCAAAACACCGCAGACGGGATCATGGTACCTGTGGGGTTGTGACTTCCAGGAGCTGTCAGAATATTCTGGTCTGGCCTCAAGCCAGGCAGGGGGGCAGGGCTTGGCTCATGCCCTGGCATTGCACTGGCCTTCTGTCCTGCCAGCAAAGCGTTCTTATCCCAGGCCCAGCCTCCTGCGAGCTTTGGGTACAGCAGCACTCCCTGAGGCCACAGCTTGTTTTTGTTTTTGTTTCTTTTGTTTTTGTTTCTCCCTGTCCCTTCCAACTTCCCAAATTGTGGGCCACAGAGCTGAATGAGGGGATCATGACAAATTCAACCATAGTAAAAGGTTTCTGAATGTGCAACAACCGAAAACTTAATTAAAAATCAAAGGTCAAATGGAGTGTAAGTGTTTTCAGCGGCTCTATTGTGACATGCTGTGCAGCCTTGGTTATTGGATATAGCTCATGCATTTTGTGGGCACACATGTGACACCTCCTAAGACCAGCAAAACCTTGCTTTTAACATCTTGGTGAGAGTTGAGATTGTTGTGTTGTAAATTGCAGTGTTTTTACTGTGCATATTCAGTTTTCTGTGCTTATAGAAACATAATGGTGTAATTATTAAAAACAAAGACTTTAATATTTACCAACCATCATTTTTCACATGTATCATTTTTTGAATACCTGTAAATTATATCATGTTAGAATGTTTGATATTTAGGAGATTGCTGTCTGGGAGATGAGTAGATGACTCAGTGGGTAAGGTCTCAGTGGCAAATGCTCCTCATGCACGTTTGAATCCTCAGTATTCTCATTACAACTGGAAGAGCATGGTAGCCTGCTTGTAATCCCAGTACTGGGAAACAGAAAGGGCTCCTCGGGCCAAGCTGACTAGCTAAACTGGTGAGCGCTAGGTTCAGGGAAAAACCTTACCTAATAAAGAAAGTGGAGAGAGATCAAGAAGGTATCCAGTGTCGGTCTCACACATGGCTGCATGTGCATACACACACACACACAAAACCACATACCATGTACACACATAATAAAAAAAGAACAAAATGTGCTGTTTAACTGTACGTGGTAGCACGATCTGTAATCCCAGCACTTGGAAGGCTGAGGTAGGATTTCAAGACCAGCTTGGGCTAAAGACAAGTTCAAAGCTGGGCTTTGTTCTTTCTTTTTAAATTTTACATTTACTTTTGCAAAAATTTTTTTTTTTTGGTTTTTCGAGACAGGGTTTCTCTGTGGCTTTGGTACTTTTGCAATTTTTTGTTTTTTGTTTTTCTTGGTTTTCAGAGACAGGGTTTCTCTGTGGCTTTGGAGGCTGTCCTGAAACTAGCTCTTGTAGTGTGTTTTTGCAATTTTTAAAAATTAAAATATAGAAGTCAGGAGGTGGTATCACATGCCTTTAATCCCAGCACTTGGCAGGAGGATATTTGTGAGTTCGAGGCCAGACTAGTCTACAGAGTGAGTTCCAGGACATCCAGGGCTGTTACATAGAGAAACCTTATCTTGATAAACCAGAAACAAACAAGCAAGCAAGCAAACAACCCAAACAAACAAAAAAATTAAAATACAGGGCTGAGTATAGTGGTGCATGCCTTTAGTTCAAGCTCCCAGGAGGCAGAGGCAGGCAAACTCACTCTGTGAGTTCAAGGCCAGCCTGGTCTACAAAGCAACTTCCAGGATAGCCAGGGCTGTTACACAGAGAAACCCTATCTTGAAAAACAAACAAACAAAAAACCCAAGCCAGGCTGGATTGGTGGTGACACTCACTTTTAATCCCAGCACTTGGGAGCAGATGCAGGTGGATCTCTGTGAGTTTGAGGCCATCCTGGTTTACAGAGCAAGGTCCAGGATTATGAAGGGAAACACTCTCAAAAAAAAAATCAGAAACAAACAAACAAAAAACCAAAACCAAAACCAAAAAACCTTGAAAACCTCTCCCTCTCTCTTCTTCTCCCTCTCTACCTCTCTTTCCTTTCTCCTCTCTCCCACTGCTCCTGTCCCTGGATGCCAGTCTCCTCCCTCCCCTTTCCTTTCTCAATAATAATAATAATAATAATAATAATAATAATAATAATAAACATTGAACTCTGTCGCATGGCATCTTTCTCTGTCCTGGAACTCACTCTGTAGACCAGGCTGGCCTCAAACTCACAGAGATCTGCCTGCCTCTGCCTCCCAGGTGCTGGGATTAAAGGCGTGCGCCACCAATGCCCAGCTTTCGAGCAGCTGTCTTAAAATTACAACACCACCCATTGAACTGGGAGGTCTAAGGAGCTTGATGCTCTCTGTGATTCACTGCTAAGTAGAGTTTGGGCAATGCTCTGTCTTGGATGAGCGAGAATGTACCTTGAAGTGCGTGCTTCGAAAAGATTTCTGGTCAACACAACAATGAAAAAGATGGCCCTTAAATCCACAGAGCTAAAAATGCTTTCTCGCCAGCCAGCACCTTTCTCACTTACTGAAAGAACCTTTTATCTTCCCTTAGAAATTGATTCTTCAAGCCAGAGTCACTGTGCGTAGCAAAGGAGTCCCGAGACGTCTTCTCGTTCACGTTCAGCGTTCCTTTGGCTGGGAGAAGGCGCTCTCTTCTTCCTTTTCATCCTCTCCGCATCTGCTTCCTGCTTTTGAGGCCTCACTTATGTATCCAAGGCTGGCCACAGAGTCCGATCCTCCTGCCCAGCCCACCCACCCCTGCCCCCAAACACACACGGTAGCTTCTATGCTGCCAGCAGCAGGGATGTGTCAGACCATCTCCTTAAAAGAATTTAAGACTTACTGAGCGTGTCTGGGGTTGCACGTGTGCTATGGTGTGCATATGGAGGTCAGAGGATAGCCTGTGGGCGCTGGGTCTCTCCCAACCTGTGGGCGCTGGGGACCAAACTTTCTTCAGGTGGGCAGTGAGCGCCTTAACCCCTGAGCTGTCTTGCCAGCCTGAGGTATGGTCTACCCAACTGCTGCTCCCTTCAGTATTCTTTGCAGCCCTCAGACAGGGCTGTGAGCGCTGCTTCAGGGGTTGGCTCACCTTGAGTGCGAGCTGCGATGCTTTTGTTCTTTCCTCAGTAACAAACTGCACAACACAGACACAGCTTCATCTCCTGGTGGACTCCTCCTTTCGGAGCCACAAACACTTGGCTGTTGTTTTGCAAGAAAACAGGGAATTGTGCTTCTTGAATCACTAAGACCAAGTTCTTGCTCATCTGTTTCTGCATCTTCTGTGTACTCACTAACTTTGTTTAATGGTCAACCGCTGTGTAAATTTATTTGTTCATTCATTCATTCACAATTATCCTCAATTATGCCTCCCTCAGTTACCCAACCCTTCTTTCCCTAGCCCACCCCCTGGTTTAGTGAGTTCTTTTTTGTGACCCATTGCCTTTAAGGTTGTGTGAGCATGGGTGTCAGATCATTCACTTGAACATGGGCAGCCTATCAAATTTGGGCTATACTTGAGGAATATGACTTCCTCTCCCCCAGCAACCATTGACTACCCATGGCTCTTTGGGATGTGGTCTCATGAGTTCTACCCTAATTCTTAATGGATAATGTCTTGTTCAGGTTTTCTGCAGGTAACCTCCCCTGCTGTGATCCACGGGGCGGGGGTGGGGTGGGTTGATGGGTGAGGGGCAGCAGCCATGTCCCATCCAGGAGACGGTGTTTCACAGAATTCCTTCCCATCCTCTGGATGTTGCCTGAGCCTTGAGGGGAATGCTATAGATCCGATGATCCACTTAGGACCCAGCACGCCACAGTTGCTTCTTTTCCGCATTTGGGTGAGTTACATGTCTCTGCCTTAACTGCTGCCCACTACATAAAGAAACTTCTTTGACTGAGGAGCCACGGCCATAAGCAGAAGGATTTAGAATGCAGTTGAACACACCATATCCATTTAGCAAGACAGCTGTCTCAGTAGGTCTCCACCACCAGAGCCTATGGCCTCACTAGCCAAGCACGAATTCCCTCCTCTGGAACGGGCTCAGGTGTAATCCGAAAGTTTGTACTATAACATTTTGAAGATTTACTTCATCATTCGAGACAGAGTTTCACTACGGAGCTCAGGCTGACCTCAAACTTATGATCCTCCTGTCTCAGCCACTTGAGTACTAGGATTACAAGCATGAACCTGCTAACCCAGTGTGAAGGCATTTTAAGTGGTAATTAAGCTACTTAGTGAAGAGAAGGCTCTTGGAAACTTACCAGGCCAAGCTTGTGTTTGCACAGGCGATGACAGCTGCTCCCAGATGTCATCACACGCCACAATTGTGAGGAACATTATAATGAGCACGAAAGACACATCATAGGATTGATAGAGCACGGCACCCACTGTGTTGCATATGTTTAATTCTCACACTGTCATGCACTGTTCTAGAAACTCTTGAAAGTATTAGCTATCCTTGGTAGTCTGAATGAAAATGGTTCCCACAGGCCCATAGGGAGTGGCATAATTAGGTGTGGCCTTGTCTGAGGGCATGTGTCACTGGGGGGTAGGCTTTGAGGTTTCAAAACTCAAGCCCAGCCCAGAGTCACTCTCTCTTCCTGCTGCCTGCTGATCCAGATATAGAACTCTCTGCACCTCTCCAGCACCATGGTCTGCCACCATGTTTCCTGCCGTGATAATGGACTAAACCTCTGAAACTGTAAAGCCAGCCCCAGTTATAAGAGTTGTTGTTTTCATGATGCCTCTTCACAGCAATAGAGCACTGATTAAGACACTCTCATCCTCACAGACACCTTATGAGCCAAAAGTTACCTCCACCTTTTAAAGACAGGACAATGAGGCAGAAAGAACTTAGGTGGCTTTCCTGAGGTCATAAAACTAGAAAGTGGAAAGACAGAATAGGAACCCCAGTAGTCAGGCTTCAAGGAGCCTTTTGTTTTTTTTTTAAGATTTATTTTATTTTATATTATGTGTGTGTGAGTGTTTTGCCCGCATGTGTGTATGTGCTTGAGAAAGTCATAAGAAAGCATTGGATCTCCTGGAGCTGTGAGCTGCCATGTGGGTGCTGGGAATCCTATTCAGGTCCTCTGGAAAAGCAGCCAGTGCTCTGAGCCATCTCTCCAGTCATCCAGGGGGCCTTTTTTTTTTTTTTTTAAAGATTTATTCCCTGGCTTACTGCCACATGCCTTTAATCTTAGCACTTGGGAAGCGTAGTCAGGAGGATCTCTGAGTTGGAGGCCAGCCTGGTCTACAAATTGAGTTCTGGGCCAGCCAGAGTTATGTCATGACATCCTGTCTAAAAAAATAAATAGAAGCCCTATCTCGAAAAACCAAAAAAAAAAAAAAAAAAAAAGAAAGAAAGAAATCAAGATGAAAAAGAGAGTTAGAGGCCCTGATTATTATATTGTCATATAATAATTATTACATAATTATTGTGTGTCCTTTGCTAGTAGCTTGAAAGGGAGCTGGTACACTTCTACGTGCCCTGCTGGTGCACACTTTTAATCCCAGCACTTGGGGAACAGAAGCAGGTGGATCTCTGTGAGTTCAAGGCTAGCCTGGTCTACAGAGTGAGTTTCAGGCCAGCCAGGGCTACAGTGTCTTAGTCATTGTTCTATTGTGAAAGACACCATGACCAACATAACTCAAAAAGGAAAGCGTTTGCCTGGGGGCTGGCTTATGTTTTCATCATGGCAGGGAACATGGTGGCATGTATTGCTCTAGAGCAGTAACTGAGAGCTATGTACTGATCCCCAGGCTGCGGAAAGAGAGACCGGGCCCAGCATGGGCTTTTTGAACCCCAAAGCCCATCCCCAGTGACACACTTCCTCCAAAAGGGGCCACACCTACTCCAACAAAGCTACACTTGTGATCCTTCTAATCATGTCAGAGAGCTCTCTGATGGTGAAGCGTTCAAATGTGTAAGCATATGGGGCCCACTCTTATTCAAACTCCACATAGAGTGAGACCCTGTCTCAAAAACACAAAAGGCATTCCAAGCAATATTTGACATATATCAAACTTCATCTGAGCAGTTCCTTATCTCCTTGAAGGCTTGGGAACATCTGTGCTACATCCTAAGTCCTTGAATGAGTTTCATCCAGGCATCTCAGTGGCACCATTTTCCACAGCAGAGTTTATGACAGCGGCACAGGTCCCAAGCCTGGTGAGGAGGGAGGGCAGCCATGAGTTCTCACCCCTGGCTGCTTTCCCTGCTCCCACTGTGGCTCTGACTCAGCGCCCAGTATACGGTGGAAAGGATGCAGGCCCAGGGGTGACAAAGAGTCCTGTGGCCTCTATCCTGCCCATTGTGGAAGGGGGCGGGGTGGTGGTGGGATGTGGGCGGGGGGCATGTGCTAAGGCACAGAAGCTGGGCTTTCACCTAACCGTACACAGAGCCTTGGATTTGGCGTCCCCTCTCCTCTTCATTTCTGAATCCCTGTGTGTGTTCAGGGACCATGTGTTGTCATCATTGTCTCACAGTTAGGCCCTGCCTTCAAACCCTTCCGGTTGAAACCTGTGCTAAGAAGTACATTTAATATTCTAACCCATGAATATTATTTCTCAAATGGTGAGGTGAGGGATGGATGCTTAGAAAAGACAGATGAAACTAACATCCTGTGATGTTTTGAATTCTAGTTTCCCCAAAAGCAACTCATATCAAGACGAAATTGATGTTATGAGCCACTCCCAATTGTCATTCAGTTTGAAAAACACTGCTGGACATTCCAGATGAGAAAGCGTATTCTCCCTGGGGAGACCCTCGGCCCCACTTCCTGACTGTTGAGTCTGTATTTCTCACTCTGAGCGGCTGCTGCGTTGGCTGGTCCTCCGACGGTGAACTTCAGGGATCTGCGTTGGCTGGTCCTCCGACGGTGAACTTCTGGAATCTGCATTGGCTGGTCCTCCGACGGTGAACTTCAGGGATCTGCGTTGGCTGGTCCTCCGATGGTGAACTTCAGGAATCTGGGGACTATTTATCATTTGGTCCCAGTTGCACCCCCAGCAATTCTCACACTGTCTGGCACGCTATAGCTGCTCACTAAATGTTTGTGAAGGGACCAAATGAGTAAAAGGCCAGCATTTGTTTCCTCAGGCCCATCCTCGATCTTACCCATCTAGCCTGCCTCCTCCTTGAAGAACTACTGAAACTGATTCCAGAAAAGGCTGATTCTTGGAGCTTGGGCTAGAGGGGGAGTATGGGAGTGGATTTGGTCCTTGTTGGTTTGGGGAAGGGTCAGTTGCTTGCATGTGACAAGGACTGGATGTAAAAAAGGGGCTGGGCAGTGGTGGCGCACACCTTTATTCCCAGCACTCAGAAGGCAGAGGCAGGTGGATCTCAGCGAGTTTGAGGCCAGCCTGGTCTACAGAGTGAGTTCCAGGACAGCCAGGACTGTTACACAGAGAAACCCTGTCTCGAAAATAAAAGGGGGGGGAAGAGTAGGGGGCTGGGGGTAGGGAAGGAGACGGCTCTAGCAACTGTTGTAGGAAGAAGTGAGTTCCTTCTTACTCAGAGGATGAGCAGCAGGAGAGGGCGGTACCAGCAATGCGGGGGAGCATAGGCCACAGGCCTGTGAAGCCGCCTGACAGGATGGTAGCCGGGAGCTTGGCAGACCCTAGCCAGAGGAGAGGGAAGCAGGAAGAGGTCCTGCCCCTTCTTGTCAGCTCTGAGCTCTTCCTAATCCCTGGTGTCCTCACCCATTGTGTGCCCTGGGGTGGGGTGGACCAGACTGGAGGCCCAGTGAGCTGAGGGTGCCTTGATGGCTGCTGCTGTCACCCTATGTTTCCACCACCAGTCGGGTGTACTCACCTCCAGGGAGAGAGGGGAGCCATGAATGCCAGTCAGGATGCACCACAGCCATGACCAAACAGGAGCTGGTGACAAGCAACACCCAGTGACCTTGTGTGCAAAGATCCCTTGATCCTGTTTACTAGACACTCAATGACATCTGTGAGCCATCCTGGCTGCCTGTGCCTGCTGCCGGCATCCATGGTTGAGTGTCCACAAGCTCCTCTCCTTCCCATGCCCCACCCCCCGCCTGTCCCTACAACCTTTATCTCCCTAGTGTCACCCCCACAGCCTCTGCCCCAGCTGCCCTTTCTTCCTTAGCAACCAGTCCTGAGCTCTCTGTCCTCTCAATTACAAGGTAGCTGGCAGCTGGCCCACCCCCACTGCCACATCCATTGTCCCGTGTCCCGAAGCAGGGACAGAGTGTGTGCTTTCCCAGATGAGCTGCAAGTTCTCAGGTCAGAAGCCGCGTCCGAATCCTGTACTCGTGATTGGCATGGAATAGATGCTGGAATGAACACATGTTTGCCCAAGGTCAGACAGCTAGGAAGTAGCTATAATTCAAACCTAGTTCTTCCTGGGCCTCACCCCACCCCGCCCTGACACCCTCCAGGAAGCCTTCCTCCACTTAGTCAGGCAGCTTCTGTCTCCACCCCTTAGAGACTTGGACACTTGTCACAATCTTATCCTCAGCCAGGACAGGCTCTGACACCACAACTCTGTGGCTGTGGGACAGCCCAGGTAGGTACCCCTGGAGATACTTCAGCCACTACAGTGACCCTAGCTTGTAGGCCACTCACGGCCCCTCCGCCCCACCGTTTCCTGTGCTGGCTCCCACAAGGGCCACCCAGCCCGGGGCCCAACCCTCTGTTCATTTTGCAGAAGTTTAATATCAGCCTGCGATCAGCAGGCTTCTCCTGCAGCCCCTCCTTCTGTTTCAGGCAGGGACTTGCGCTGTCCCCCCACAGAAATGCGAGGCCCCTGGGGGCCCCTTGTGCTGCCCTGGCTCTAGGCTTGCTTGGAGGGACCATTGTTTTCTTCAGTGATGGAAGGCGTGGGCCTGAGGCCACTCAAGCCCTCCAAGGTCTTCCCAAGGGTTGAAGGCTATGCGGCTCTGGGAAGTCTTTCACCTCTGGCCACAATGTTGGCCCATTCGCTCTTCTTCTAGTTGGTGGGAGGCTGTTTTCTCATGACTTTAGAACACTGAGATAGTTCATTGTGTTTACTTAGCCATGCAACAAATATTTCCTGAGCATGAGCCATGTGCCAAGTACTAGTCTAGGCTTTGGCCATCTACCACGGAAGAAGACTGACAAATCGCTAGGGGAGGGGCTTGCAGTACAGAACATTGAGTTTGTGAGGCAGAGGCCCTCAGCCTGATAAGGCATGAAAATGCTAGAATGAGGCTCAGTGGTAAGGGTTTGTCCAGCACAGGTGAGACCTTGCACCGAATCAGCATTACAAAACAAAACAAAACCAACAACAGCAAAGAGAGAAGAAAGGAAAAGAAAAAAAAAAAGACTCAATGAAAGTGTAAATATGGGAAAAGAATGTTTATTCTCAAGCATCCCCCACCGTCTGCCTAGTGCATGAATTCAACAATGCAATTGAAAGTGAATGCTGGCCGATGGCTCCCGGGTCAAAGAGCTTGCCACTGTTAAGTGAATGTTGCATCTTTTAAAAGATAATCATAGCCAGGCATTGGTGGCACATTCCTCTAATCCCAGCACTCAGGAGGCAGAGGTAGGCAGATCTCTGTGAGTTTAAGGCCAGCCTGGTCTAAAGAGTGAGCAGTCAGGACTACACAGATTCTCAAGCAAAACAAGACAAGATGATCACAAGCTGATATGGCGGTGCACACCGGCAATCACTGGGAGGCACAGTCAGGAGGGTCAGGAGTTCAAGTCATTCTCTGATACATGAGACCCTTTCTCAATAACCCCCCTGTCCCAGAAAAAAGAAGATAATCACAGAGCTAATACATGACCCCACATTTTGGTCTTTGCCATATATCCAAAAAAGCAGACTATCTCAACCCTACCCTCCATACACACTCACACGTGGCTATAGGCATAACACCACTTGCATTAGTTAAGGTCAGAAAACAGCTGCAATGACCATCAGTACATAAACGGATAAACACAACTGTGATGTACCTACACAGCAGAATTTTATTCAGCTGACAACATAGATGAAATTAAAAATGTGTTGCCTTTGGAGAAACTGTAGAAACCAGGAAACTAAAAAGGTACCATTGGGGTAATGGGGGATCAATAAAGAGAATACAAATAGTGAAATGGGAAAATGGGGGGCTCTAATAGGGGGAGAAGGAAAATAAATGCAGAAGGAAAAAGGAGAGTGAAGTAACAGTAAGACCATCTGAAAAAGTCATAGGGAATCGCACTATTATCTACCTAAAATGCATATAGCACACACACACACACACACACACACACAGTTTAAATGAAAATTTCCTATCAGGATGACAATTCTCTTTCCAAGAGCCAAAGACCATCTATCAAAAGCCCCAACGCCAAGCATGGGAAGCCCTCCTTTTGAGTTGTTGGTCAGGGTTGTCCAGACATTTTGCCCTGGTTGCCCACTGTAGGTGGAAGATAAGAGGTGGAAAAGAGGCCCCCTGAGCTGGAACCAATCTGAAAATCTCCTCCCTGAGGACCAGCTTTCGTGGTACAGAAGGTGCTGTGCAAGATTCCAAAGGAGGGAAGCCAGCAGCATTACTACCCAGCTATGACACTTGCAAACCACATCAAAAACCAGGATGGCCTGGTCGCCCTAAGGGTGTAGTGGTGGCACACATATCTTGGCATTAACCAACAGCTCTCTAACTGGACTTAATATCTGCTCAACAAGAGGGAAATCATGCCTAATACTGGAAACCTAGTCAACTTCTCAGTGCTGGTGAAGTCATAACCCTTGGAGGAGAACCTATAACCTCCCCTTTACTAAACCAACATCCTAACTGTACTCTAATGATTTGTCCTTATACCCACAGGTAAATACAGTCCCCACCCTTCATCAAGAAAATTTTTCCTTTCAACTAATAGAGACCATTACAGAAAACCACAATCAATCAATCAAAACAGAGTTGTGGAGCCCAGTCCCAATGGATACACCTGCGATACGACTCCCTCACCCAAGGCTCAGGGACCCTTGCAGAAGGGGGGGGGATGTAAGAGCCAGAGGAGCAGGGAGTGTGCTGTGAGACTCTGTCTCCTAGTAATGCCAGAAGCTGCACCCATAAAGTGCCACCAACATGACTGCCTGAGCGTGAGCTGAACAAAATGCCAACAATAGACATGCCGGGGAAAGGCCACAAGACCTCAACGCCACACAAAGAACTACAGGCGAGGAAGGAATGCCGAGACCAGGAGAGACAGTACTCCCCACACACCAACCGGTGATCCAATACCAAATGGTCAGCTCTGAAAACATACAGACACATGTACATATATGCATGCATACATATCTATAACAATAATTAATGAAAAAGGAGGCTGCAAAACTGAAAGAGATCAAGGAGGGGAATACGGGAGGGTTTGGAGGAAGGAAGGGGAAAGGGAAAAATGACGTAGTTACCTTATAATCTCAAAAAGGAAGAGATAGGAAGGACCAAGTTCAGTGGAAGAAGCAGACATGAAAAGATGTATGTCGTATGACACCTTTGACAGGCAAATCTGCAGAGACATTAAATAGACAGGTGCTTGTCAGAGGCTGGGGCAGGGGGATGACAGAGAGTGAGTGCTCAGGGGGAACGGGGTTTCCTCTTGGGGTGATGAGCTGCATAATAGTAATAGTTGCATCATACTGTGGACTTACTTAATAACACCAAGCCATCTACTTTAAGATGACTGGAATGGTGGATTCTGGGCTATTCTACTTTACATTTGAACAAAGAGTGTGTGCTGTACTGACCTTGTCACACTGTCACATTACGTCACAAGCATAGTGGTGGGTGTAGGGGCCATTCAAGCCAAGCCTTAAGGGCCCCACAGGACAGATGGATCAGGATTGAGGGAGGGGAGGAATAAGGAATGGCTGGGTTTGCCCTGACAGGGCAAGATCTGGGGGCGAGCAGTCTGGAGAAATAAGGAAACCTTTCCGGACATCTCTAAGTTGACCCGATTCCGGGACAGGCAAAAGAAGGCCAGGGAGTTGCAGAAGGGTGGCGGGCGGAGCCTTCAGGAGCAGGCGAACACTGCTGGCTGGAGAGAAAGGCAGAGGATGGAGAGACTCCATGTTCAGGAGAACACCGGAGCCAGGCTGGACACAGGCCGGTCCCAGCCGGGAAGCCAGGAAGCCAGGAAGCCAGGAAGCCAGGAAGCCAGGAAGCCAGGAAAGGGGCAGG